ATGCGCTGATGCTGATGCTGATGCGCTGATGCTGATGCGCTGATGCTGATGCGCTGATGCGATGCGGCTGCGCTGATTGCTGATGCACTGATGCTGATGCTGATGCTGATGCTGATGCTGATGGTGCTAATGCTGATGCTGATGCTGATGCTGACGCTGATGCTGATGCTGATGCTGATGCTGATGCTGATGCGCTGATGCTGATGCTGATGCGCTGATGCGCTGATGCTGATGCTGATGCGCTGATGCTGCTTGCTGATGCTGATGCTGATGTGCTGATGCTGATGCTGATGCGCTGATGCTGATGCTGATGCTGATGCGCTGATGCTGATGCTGATGCTGATGCTGATGCTGATGCGCTGATGCTGATGCTGATGCTGATGCGCTGATGCTGATGCTGATGCTGATGCGCTGATGCTGATGCTGATGCTGATGATGCTGATGCTGATGCGCTGATGCTGATGCGCTGATGCTGATGCGCTGATGCTGATGCTGATGCTGATGCTGATGCGCTGATGCTGATGCGCTGATGCTGATGCTGATGCTGATGCTGATGCGCTGATGCTGATGCTGATGCGCTGATGCTGATGCTGATGCTGATGCGCTGATGCTGATGCGGATGCGTGATTGCTGATGCGCTGATGCTGATGCTGATGCTGATGCTAATGCTGATGCTGATGCTGATGCTGCTGATGCTGATGCTGATGCTGCTGATGCTGATTGCTCATGTGCTGATGCTGATGCGCTGATGCTGATGCGCTGATGCTGATGCTGATGCGCTGATGCTGATGCTGATGCGCTGATGCTGATGCGCTGATGCTGATTGCGGATGCGCTGATGCTGATGCACTGATGCTGATGCTGATGCTGATGCTGATGGTGCTAATGCTGATGCTGATGCTGATGCTGACGCTGATGCTGATGCTGATGCTGATCCTGATGCTGATGCTGATGCTGATGCTGATGCGCTGATGCTGATGCTGATGCTGATGCTGATGCTGATGCGCTGATGCTGATGCTGATGCTGATGCGCTGATGCTGATGCTGATGCTGATGCGCTGATGCTGATGCGCTGATGCTGATGCTGATGCTGATGCTCATGCTGATGCTGATGCTGATGCTGATGATGCTGATGCTGATGCGCTGATGCTGATGCTGATGCTGATGCGCTGATGCTGATGCTGATGCGCTGATGCTGATGCGCTGATGCTGATGCTGATGCGCTGATGCTGATGCTGATGCGCTGATGCTGATGCGCTGATGCTGATGCGGATGCACTGATGCTGATGCTGATGCTGATGCTGATGGTGCTAATGCTGATGCTGATGCTGATGCTGACGCTGATGCTGATGCTGATGCTGATGCGCTGATGCTGATGCTGATGCTGATGCTGATGCTGATGCGCTGATGCTGATGCTGATGCTGATGTGCTGATGCTGATGCTGATGCTGATGCGCTGATGCTGATGCGCTGATGCTGATGCTGATGCGCTGATGCTGATGCTGATGCGCTGATGCTGATGCTGATGCTGATGCGCTGATGCTGATGCTGATGCGCTGATGCTGATGCTGATGCGCTGATGCTGATGCGCTGATGCTGATGCTGATGCGCTGATGCTGATGCTGATGCGCTGATGCTGATGCGCTGATGCTGATGCGCTGATGCGCTGATGCTGATGCACTGATGCTGATGCTGATGCTGATGCTGATGGTGCTAATGCTGATGCTGATGCTGATGCTGACGCTGATGCTGATGCTGATGCTGATGCTGATGCTGATGCGCTGATGCTGATGCTGATGCTGATGCTGATGCTGATGCGCTGATGCTGATGCTGATGCGCTGATGCGCTGATGCTGATGCACTGATGCTGATGCTGATGCTGATGCGCTGATGCTGATGCTGATGCTGATGCTGATGTGCTGATGCTGATGCTGATGCGCTGATGCTGATGCTGATGCTGATGCGCTGATGCTGATGCGCTGATGCTGATGCTGATGCTGATGCTGATGCGCTGATGCTGATGCTGATGCTGATGCGCTGATGCTGATGCTGATGCTGATGCGCTGATGCTGATGCTGATGCTGATGCGCTGATGCTGATGCTGATGCTGATGCGCTGATGCTGATGCGCTGATGCTGATGCGCTGATGCTGATGCGCTGATGCTGATGCTGATGCGCTGATGCTGATGCGCTGATGCTGATGCGCTGATGCTGATGCGCTGATGCTGATGCTGATGCGCTGATGCTGATGCGCTGATGCTGATGCTGATGCTGATGCGCTGATGCTGATGCTGATGCGCTGATGCTGATGCGCTGATGCTGATGCTGATGCTGATGCTGATGCTGATGCTGATGCTGCTGGTGCTGAGGTGATGCACACATAACAGGCCCACACCTGGTAGAGGAAGAGCATCGTTGAGTTGTCGGAACGAGTGGCCTGGGCGAACGCCGAAAGGGCAGCAGGCGCCTCCCCTTGAGACCAGGTTGCTGATGCTGATGATGCAGAGCTGGATGCAGAGCTGCTAGTCGTGCCGGCAGCAGTGCTGGTTGCCCTGCCTGCCATGCCACCCCACCACATGGCAGACCTCCCCCACTGCTCACCACCACCATCCCCATCAGTATCACTACCACCACCATCCCCATAAACATCAACATCGCTTCCCTCGCTGTCTGTGTCACTGCCGCTGCTCTCCCCGCTGCTGCCACCGCCAGAGGCAAAGCCCAAGGGAGAGGCGGCTAATCTCCCCGCTGCTGAGGGCGATGGTGCATGAGCGGGCCGTGCGGCACTGCCTCTCTCTCTTTGCCTGCCGCCGCCTTCCCTGGGCTGTGCTGCGTCCCACTCCCTCACACCCATCGCTCCCATTGCTTCCTCTCTTCCTAGGCTCTGCCACCCCTGCTCGTCCCAAGAGCCTGTTCCTGCCAAACCAGTGCTGCTGCTGCCGCTGCTGCTGCCACCGACAGAGATACCACCACCACTGTTGTTGCCGCCTCTGCCGGTGCTAACAGCATCGCCATCCACCCACACCTCCCCATGCTGACCCATCTCCCGTACCTCCACCTGCGGTGCCTTGCCTGTGAGGTGGGCATTGATGAGCGCACAGGGGGAGGGAAGGGGAGAAGGGGGAGGTTATGAGCGCTGGCAGCGGTGGCAGCATCGCCATCCACCCACACCTCCCCATGCTGCCCCATCTCCCGTAGCTCCACCTGCGGTGCCTTGCCTGTGAGTGAGGTACCCCATGGGGGAGGGGCAGTGGCGAGCGCACAGAGGGAGAGAGTGACGATGGAAGTGAGCGGACGTAGAGAGGGAGAGGTTGGGAGAAGGGAGCGCATGTGGTCCAGCGGACACGAGAATGGAAGGGAGCGCATGTGGTCCAGCGGACACGAGAATGGAAGGGAGCGCATGTGGTCCAGCGGACACGAGAATGGAAGGGAGCGCATGTGGTCCAGCGGACACGAGAATGGAAGGGAGCGCATGTGGTCCAGCGGACACGAGAATGGAAGGGAGCGCATGTGGTCCAGCGGACACGAGAATGGAAGGGAGCGCATGTGGTCCAGCGGACACGAGAATGGAAGGGAGCGCATGTGGTCCAGCGGACACGAGAATGGAAGGGAGCGCATGTGGTCCAGCGGACACGAGAATGGAAGGGAGCGCATGTGGTCCAGCGGACACGAGAATGGAAGGGAGCGCATGTGGTCCAGCGGACACGAGAATGGAAGGGAGCGCATGTGGTCCAGCGGACACGAGAATGGAAGGGAGCGCATGTGGTCCAGCGGACACGAGAATGGAAGGGAGCGCATGTGGTCCAGCGGACACGAGAATGGAAGGGAGCGCATGTGGTCCAGCGGACACGAGAATGGAAGGGAGCGCATGTGGTCCAGCGGACACGAGAATGGAAGGGAGCGCATGTGGTCCAGCGGACACGAGAATGGAAGGGAGCGCATGTGGTCCAGCGGACACGAGAATGCATCTCCACTGCCGCTTGGAACACCTTATGTGACTTTACAGACAAGGATGAATCACCTGAGAGCAGAGCATCAACGGTGGCAGCCAAGATGCGATGCACGGTCCAGCGGCCGAGTCCTAGACCCTTCCATGCGGTCCAGCATTACCAATAAAAAAAATAGGTCCATAGGCGCAGGCACGCGGGTGCATCTCCACTGCAGCTTGGAACAACCTCTGAAACGTCTTGTCTCTAGAAGGAAGAATCACCTGAGAGCAGCGCGTCAACAGTGGCAGCAAGGTTGCGGTGCACGGTCCACCGCCCGCGGGAGTGCATCTCCACTGCTGCTTGGAACACGGGCGGGCCTCCCCTCTCCATCACACTCTTCTGCACTCCCCTCCTCCTCGCCTCCTCGTCGCCCAGCGTCACTGTCTGCATGTGGGAAAGAGGTAGGGGAGGGGGGAGGAGTGTGGGTGAGAGTGAGAGAAGGACCTCTGCTGCTCTACCTGCACCCTTCTCCACCCACCCGCACGCCCCCTGTCAGCGAGTGCAGGTGCCGGTTCTCCACAGTGCTGTTTTTGACACTGTGCTTAAAAATTCTGTCACCCAATTACACCCCTCTGCACCCACCTGCACGCCTCCTGCCAGTGTGTGGGTTCTTGACAAGGTTCTCCACCGACCGTCCATGTGTTGTGGTGACGCCCCGCTTTGCTATCGTGGCTGCTGCTGCTCCTCCCCATCCCCACCTGTACCCCTCTGCACCGCCATCTATATCACTCCCTCTGCACCCACCTGCACCCCTGTGCACCTACCTGCACGCCTCCTGCCAGCGTGTGCAGGTGCGGGTTCTTGACGAGATTCTCCACAGAGCGACCGTGCGCCGTGGCGATGAGCTGCACGCCCCGCTGCGCTATCGTGGCCGCTGCTGCCGCCTCCAGCTCCGACCCGATCTCATCGATTATCACCACCTGCGGCATGTGGTTCTCCACCGCCTCTATCATCACCTGGTGTACGGGGGTGCAGGGGAAGACGGGGTGGGGTGGGAGGCAAAAGTTGGAGGGATGTGGCAACACAAGTGATTCACTGCACAGACACTATCCCAGCTCCGGCCTGATATCTCAAAAAATCACCACCTGCGGCATGTGATTCTCCACCGCCTCTATCATCACCTGGTGCATCGTGGGGGTTAGGGGGAAAGGGGGGGGGGGGGGGGGGGGGGGGTAGACGCAGAGAGAAAAGAGCCGAGCATGTGGCACATGGTTCTCCACTGACTCTGCTGCTGCTGCCATACACACTCAGGTGCCAGGTGCTGCCGCCCAGCCCAACCAGTGCTCCCAAGGATGCTCACCTGGTGCTGCAGCTCCACATGTGGCACTTGCATACGCCGCGCCGAGCCGATGGCGGCATGCGCGATGTCCCCGTCACCCGCGATCTCATTGCTCGTATCCACCACCACCACCCTCCTCATGCACTCGTCCGCTAAAATGCGTGCCACCTCCCTGTGTAGTATCACATCATGGGGCATGGGGGAGAGGCACGGCACACAGAGCATAGCGCTGAGCTGATGGCGGCATGGGCGGTGTCCCCGTCACCCGCGATCTCATTGCTCGTATCCACCACCACCACTCTCTGAGAGCACTCGTCCAACGGTATCCGCGCCATCTCCCTGTCGAGCAGCACCACGAGGGGCAGGGGCTGAGTGTATGGGGCGTAAAGTGAGGGGCATGGGCCATGGGGCACGGAGCATGGGGCATGGGGCATGGGGCATGGGGCATGGGGCACGGAGCATGGGGCATGGGGCATGGGGCATGGGGCACGGGCGCTCTTCCCGTACCTAATAACGGTGGTCTTCCCCACGCCCGGCGCGCCCATGAGCAGCACGCACTCGCCTTGCCCTCCGCCCCCATTCCCCCCCCTTCACTTCAACTCACCCCAAACACACCACCCCCCCCCCCTCTATCACCTGATGGCGGTGGCCTTCCCTACTCCCGGCGCGCCCATGAGTAAAACGGACTTCCCTCCCGCCACGAGGTCGCGCACCCTCTCGTCTCCGCGCTGCCCGGGCATGGGGCATGGGGCACAGGGGGGGCATGCGCGTTCTTCAAGCGCCTGTTAACCGCGCTCTCCCCCATTACCTGATGGCGGTGGTCTTCCCCACGCCCGGCGCGCCCATGAGCAGCACGGACTCGCCCCCCGCCACCAGGTCGCGCACCATCTCCGCGCTGCCCGAAATCGCGCGCCCCACGCGGCACGTCAGCCCGATGATCCTCCCCGCGCGGTTGCGGATGGCGCTGATGCGGTGCAGCGTGCGGTCTATCCCCGCGCGGTTGTCCGCGCCGAACTCTCCAACCTACGCGGAACGGAAGGGCGGAGAGAGGGAAAGGGGGGAGAGGGGGACGAGGGGAGAAGGCAGGGAGGAGAAAGGGAAAGGAGGTGGATGAGACGGAGAGTGACGACCCGCGCTAAAGAAGACGTATGCGGGTGGTGGCGAGGCGAATGGCCCCTGCAAGGAGGGTGCTTGCAACGAGAATGTGGTGAGGGAGAGCGCTAAAAGAAGGGAAGTGGGCGGAGCGCAGGAGATAATGCGGAGTGCTACCTGCGACACGCAGTATTCAATGTCGCCCGCTGTTACCACCTCGTCGCACACGAAAACGTCGCCCACGGGGAACCGTGCGACGGGCCGACGGCCGAGATCGAGAACGACCTCCACCAGCGAATGGACGGCCGGATGCCGCTGCAGAACGTCGCGAACCTTCCCCGGAAGCATCGTCAGAAGCTTCGCCAGCTCCTCCCCGAATCCCTCGGCCGGCGGAAAATGTAGAACGGCGCGCGGCGTCGGATCAGGGAGGGACGGCCGCGGGGAGAGATCTGGGCCGTCCGAATCGCTGGAAGAAGCGGCGGACGCGGAGATTGCGCGGACGCGTGAGAGTGGAGGGCGGAGCGACACGAGGCAGGACACGCTAGGGGAATCGCGCGCGCCGGGTGAAAACAGGGCGGCAGTGGGAATGGGCGGCGAGCTAAAATTATACCGGAAATGGGCAGGCGCGCGACGATCGGTTATACCAAGGGAACGCGAGGCGCCATTATCCGCAGGAGGCAAGAGAGCGCTGCCGAGGAAGTCGGCGGTAATGCCGGCGCTCCACGCGGCCATGGCGGGAGAGACGGGGAGCAGTAGGGAGGCGAGGCGGGTAGGATGCCGCTGCGACTAGCAGTGGTGCACAGCGCGCGGCACGGTTGCGGTGCGTGAAGCGGGTGGCGTTCTGCAGGCGATCATGCCGTGGGGAATAGAGGCTTTCTTTTTACACTCTGTTCGCCTAGTGCCACTCAGACGAAACAGGGCACCACCGACTGAAAAAGAGGCTAGTGCCTATAAGAGTGCCACGCTCCGTGGCTGTCGTGTGGCCACGTCACATAGCGCAAGGAGCTTTTCAGAGGGGAAGACTGAAGAAACGTACTGTACATTTTGTGACGAGGGTTGTGCACGATGATTGAAACATGTAGATTCTGGCTTGTATAGGAGTCTCCCATTCTCAATGACGCGTATAAATGTCCGAGTCAACTGGTTCGCCCCGGCGCTTCCAGAAGGTGCTCCTCCTTCCAAACGCATCCTCAGGGGGCACAGATTCCAGAAGCAAATTCCGTCATTTCCCGCCAAGCGTACCAGCAGCACATCCATCTCACGCACGACCTGCATTCACCCTCTCATCACTCGCCACTTCTTGCCCTCATCACTGTCACCTCTGCTTCAGCCTTTGTCGCTCGATCTGTCATTGCCACCGCATTAGCCCGCTTGCATCTGCGATCGCATAAGTAGTCGCGCTTGCGTCGATCTTCGCGATCGCCGTGTCGGTCTTCGCAGCCGTGGTCGCAGCCATGGCGGCTCGCCGTCGAATCGTCATGTCGCCGAAGCTGCTCGCCGCGTTCGCCGTCGCGGTCCGCCTCGTCGCTCTCTCCGCCGCCATGTTTGCGCCGGACGGGTAAATCGCCGCATCGTCACCCGAATCGCGTGAGCGCATCGCTTGAACGCGCGCATCATTGGTTGAAATGAGCGGCTTGATTTCCACGCGCGAATGCGACTCCGTCTCGTTGCCGTCAGATCCACCATCGCTCTCCATCAAGCCACTCATACCTGCCATACCTGCCATACCTGCCATACCTGCCATACCTGCCATACCTGCCACACCTACCATACCTGCCATACCTGCCATACCTGCCATACCTGCCATATCCCCCCATGCGCCCGCCATGCGCCACCCACTCCCCCATGCCCCTTCCCCGCCCTCTCCCCCCGTCCCGTGTGTGGGCAGCAACGTGGTATCGCTGGACGCGGAGAGCTTCGCTACTCAAGTGCTCGCCCAACCCGCCGTCTGGCTCGTACGAACCTCTTCCCATCGCCCCTCCTCGCCTCTCCTCGCCCCTCCTCGCCCCTCCTCGCCCCTCCTCGCCCCTCGTCTCTTCTTTCCTCCTCATCCTCTTCTCTTCTCTTCTCTTCTCTTCTCTTCTCTTCTCTTCTCTTCTCTTCTCTTCTCTTCTCTTCTCTTCTCTTCTCTTCTCTTCTCTTCTCTCATCTCCATTCCACTTAGCTGCATCATGCCGGGATAGCGTTGCTTTCGGGACTCCATTGCCTCTCTGACCCTCTCCACCCCTCACGCTCCTCAATCCCGATCTCCCCACTCCCATTCCTCCCCTCTCCCGCGCTCCAACCTTAACCGCCCTTACCGCCCTTACTGCCCTCCCTCCTGCGCCAGTGTACGTGCCACCAGGTGGAGTACCATCAGGACCAGTGCGAGCCGTGCATGCAGTTCGCTCCCCCTTAACCGCACTTACCGCTCTTACTCCCCCCCTTCCGCTCTTTCCCCTCTCTCTACCGTATCTCCCCCCACCCCCTCAGGTGGAGTATCATCAGGACAAGTGCGAGCCGTGCATGCAGTTCGCGCCCGAGGTGGCCAAGGTCGCCGACTCGCTCAAAGGGCTTGTCAAGGTGCGCGTGTGGGGGGGGGGAGAGGGCAGGTGGGGCGCTTTGGGGGGAATGGTGTGGCATGCGGTGCGGGGATGTGTGGCTGATGAGAGGGCATGAGAGGTGCATAGAACTCATCAGGGGTGGGTGTCTCTCATCAGTCAAACGATTGACGTCTTTGGGTGGCACACACATGCCAGGGTTAGCCCTCCACCTCCTGCTCACTTCCTCTCCCCCCCCTCTCCATACCTGCCCCTTCCCTTCCCTTCTCTTCCCTCCTGCCATTCGATTCGCTTCCTCCTTCCCCCACTCTCCCCCACACGTTCTCTTCTCCCCGTCCCCACCCCCGCCACTGTCCCCCTCATTCACCCGGGATGCATTTTGCGTGTCTGCATGTCTGCGTGTCTGTGTCCCTCTCCGCTCAACCGTGTCAGGTGGGCGCCATCAACTGCAACAAGGCACCGGACGTGTGCATGCAAGCCCAGATCAAGGTGCGTGCTGCGCTTTCCACCCTCCTCTCCACAGATCTGTACCGTTGTGCAACGCATAAGGGCTTGCTCCTATCCCACGTGCCTGCGCATCCATGGTTCCTCCCTCACCAGCATTCCTCTATTCCACTGCATCTCTGCTCTCCGCCCGTTCTTCCTCCAGCAACCCCCCGCGCCCAGGCGCGGCACGGGCGCCCAGAGGCACGGGCGCCCAGAGGCACGGGCGCCCAGAGGCACGGGCGCCCAGAGGCACGGGCGCCCAGAGGCACGGGCGCCCAGAGGCACGGGCGCCCAGAGGCACGGGCGCCCAGAGGCACGGGCGCCCAGAGGCACGGGCGCCCAGAGGCACGGGCGCCCAGAGGCACGGGCGCCCAGAGGCACGGGCGCCCAGAGGCACGGGCGCCCAGAGGCACGGGCGCCCAGAGGCACGGGCGCCCAGAGGCACGGGCGCCCAGAGGCACGGGCGCCCAGAGGCACGGGCGCCCAGAGGCACGGGCGCCCAGAGGCACGGGCGCCCAGAGGCACGGGCGCCCAGAGGCACGGGCGCCCAGAGGCACGGGCGCCCAGAGGCACGGGCGCCCAGAGGCACGGGCGCCCAGAGGCACGGGCGCCCAGAGGCACGGGCGCCCAGAGGCACGGGCGCCCAGAGGCACGGGCGCCCAGAGGCACGGGCGCCCAGAGGCACGGGCGCCCAGAGGCACGGGCGCCCAGAGGCACGGGCGCCCAGAGGCACGGGCGCCCAGAGGCACGGGCGCCCAGAGGCACGGGCGCCCAGAGGCACGGGCGCCCAGAGGCACGGGCGCCCAGAGGCACGGGCGCCCAGAGGCACGGGCGCCCAGAGGCACGGGCGCCCAGAGGCACGGGCGCCCAGAGGCACGGGCGCCCAGAGGCACGGGCGCCCAGAGGCACGGGCGCCCAGAGGCACGGGCGCCCAGAGGCACGGGCGCCCAGAGGCACGGGCGCCCAGAGGCACGGGCGCCCAGAGGCACGGGCGCCCAGAGGCACGGGCGCCCAGAGGCACGGGCGCCCAGAGGCACGGGCGCCCAGAGGCACGGGCGCCCAGAGGCACGGGCGCCCAGAGGCACGGGCGCCCAGAGGCACGGGCGCCCAGAGGCACGGGCGCCCAGAGGCACGGGCGCCCAGAGGCACGGGCGCCCAGAGGCACGGGCGCCCAGAGGCACGGGCGCCCAGAGGCACGGGCGCCCAGAGGCACGGGCGCCCAGAGGCACGGGCGCCCAGAGGCACGGGCGCCCAGAGGCACGGGCGCCCAGAGGCACGGGCGCCCAGAGGCACGGGCGCCCAGAGGCACGGGCGCCCAGAGGCACGGGCGCCCAGAGGCACGGGCGCCCAGAGGCACGGGCGCCCAGAGGCACGGGCGCCCAGAGGCACGGGCGCCCAGAGGCACGGGCGCCCAGAGGCACGGGCGCCCAGAGGCACGGGCGCCCAGAGGCACGGGCGCCCAGAGGCACGGGCGCCCAGAGGCACGGGCGCCCAGAGGCACGGGCGCCCAGAGGCACGGGCGCCCAGAGGCACGGGCGCCCAGAGGCACGGGCGCCCAGAGGCACGGGCGCCCAGAGGCACGGGCGCCCAGAGGCACGGGCGCCAGAGGCACGGGCGCCCAGAGGCACGGGCGCCCAGAGGCACGGGCGCCCAGAGGCACGGGCGCCCAGAGGCACGGGCGCCCAGAGGCACGGGCGCCCAGAGGCACGGGCGCCCAGGCACGGGCGCCCAGAGGCACGGGCGCCCAGAGGCACGGGCGCCCAGAGGCACGGGCGCCCAGAGGCACGGGCGCCCAGAGGCACGGGCGCCCAGAGGCACGGGCGCCCAGAGGCACGGGCTCCCAGAGGCACGGGCGCCCAGAGGCACTGGCGCCCAGAGGCACGGGCGCCCAGAGGCACGGGCGCCCAGAGGCACGGGCGCCCAGAGGCACGGGCGCCCAGAGGCACGGGCGCCCAGAGGCACGGGCGCCCAGAGGCACGGGCGCCCAGAGGCACGGGCGCCCAGAGGCACGGGCGCCCAGAGGCACGGGCGCCCAGAGGCACGGGCGCCCAGAGGCACGGGCGCCAGAGGCACGGGCGCCCAGAGGCACGGGCGCCCAGAGGCACGGGCGCCCAGAGGCACGGGCGCCCAGAGGCACGGGCGCCCAGAGGCACGGGCGCCCATAGGCACGGGCGCCCAGAGGCACGGGCTCCCATAGGCACGGGCGCCCAGAGCACGGGCGCCCAGAGGCACGGGCGCCCAGATGCACGGGCGCCCAGAGGCACGGGCCCAGAGGCACGGGCGCCCAGAGGCACGGGCGCCCATAGGCACGGGCGCCCAGAGGCACGGGCGCCCAGAGGCACGGGCGCCCATAGGCACGGCGCCCAGAGGCACGGGCGCCCAGAGGCACGGGCGCCAGATTCACGGGCGCCCAGAGGCACGGGCTCCCAGATTCACGGGCTCCCATAGGCACGGGCTCCCAGAGGCACGGTCGCCCAGAGGCACGCGCCCAGAGGCACTTTCTCCCATATTCACTTTCCCAGAGGCACGGGCCATATTCACTTTCTCCCATATTCACTTCTCCCAGATTCACTTTCTCCCATATTCACTTTCTCCCATATTCACTTTCTCCCATATTCACTTTCTCCCATATTCACTTTCTCCCATATTCACTTTCTCCCATATTCACTTTCTCCCATATTCACTTTCTCCCATATTCACTTTCTCCCATATTCACTTTCTCCCATATTCACTTTCTCCCATATTCACTTTCTCCCATATTCACTTTCTCCCATATTCACTTTCTCCCATATTCACTTTCTCCCATATTCACTTTCTCCCATATTCACTTTCTCCCATATTCACTTTCTCCCATATTCACTTTCTCCCATATTCACTTTCTCCCATATTCACTTTCTCCCATATTCACTTTCTCCCATATTCACTTTCTCCCATATTCACTTTCTCCCATATTCACTTTCTCCCATATTCACTTTCTCCCATATTCACTTTCTCCCATATTCACTTTCTCCCATATTCACTTTCTCCCATATTCACTTTCTCCCATATTCACTTTCTCCCATATTCACTTTCTCCCATATTCACTTTCTCCCATATTCACTTTCTCCCATATTCACTTTCTCCCATATTCACTTTCTCCCATATTCACTTTCTCCCATATTCACTTTCTCCCATATTCACACGCCTGGTGTTCCGCCATGTTCATGCATGCCTCCCTCCCCTCACCTCTTCTCCCTCCCGCTCTCCTCTTCCCCTCTCCTCTCCCCCTCTCTCCCCCCCCCCACGTGTCAACAGGAGCTGCCAGCATTCAGGGTGAGAGCACAGCCGTGACCCACCCGCACCGAGAGGGGAGACAGGGGGGAGAGTGTGGGATAGGAAGGGATGCGTTTCTTACACACGCTGTATGATTTGCTGAAGCAGGAGGGGGCATCCCTCCTGCCCCACACTCTCCCCCTTTGGCTCTTCGTCTAGCGTGTGCAGCCTCGTGTCCTGTCTTGCATTCGCACCACCACCACTGCCTTTCTTCCCCACGACCACCACCACTAGCACCTCCCTTTGTTCTCTCGCCACTCGCTCACATACTTTTCCCCCTCGTGTCCCCTGCAGCTGTACCCATGGGAGGTGAAAGCCAACCCCTATACGCACAAGCGCTACAAGGACGCGCCGCAGGTGTTCACTGGAGACAACACCGCCAAGGCACTCGTCAGCTTCGCCACTGGTGAGTTGATCCCCGTTTCCCATGTGTTTGGAGTCTACTCGAAACACACAAAGACGTGCCTCAGGTGTTCACGGGAGACAACACTGGTAAGGCACTCGTCAGTTTCGCCACTGGTGAGCTCCTGTCCTGCAGCTACTCCCCGTTTCCTTCCCCGTGTGTTGCGAGTCGACTCGAAACACACAAGGACGTGCCTCAGGTGTTCTCTGGAGACAACACCGCCAAGGCGCTCGTAAGCTTTGCCACTGGTGAGCGCCCTTGCCTCTCCTCGCACCCTGCTTCTCCTCGCACCCTGCCTCTCCTCCTCGCACCCTGCCTCTCCTTGCACGCACCTTGCATATGCTCTCAAGTCTTACGGCCATTTTCTACTCGTACTGGCGTGCCCAGCCCACAGCATATTGATGCCGTCAACTCCTTTCATGCCACACCAACTTCAACGCCCCCATTTCCCCGTACAGATTCAGACTGCCCACCTCCCCCTCCCCCTCTCCCTGCCTCCCCACCCCCTTGTGTCCCATCCTGTCCTCTCCTCTCTCCCACCAGCCGCCCTGCCACACGACCTGGTGGCCAACATTTCATCTGGCGCCTCTGCGGATGCCTTCCTCTCCGCCAACGCCTCCCTCAACAAGGTTCCGCTCCTGCCGCCCTGCTATCCCTCCCGCCCTCTCCTTTCTTTTGTCTCCTGCCCTCCCCTTTCAGTCCTGCATCTTCTCACTCCACCTCCACTGCCTCTGCCGCACTGCTCCCGTAGCCGCACTGCTCCCGTAGCCGCACTCACAGAATATAGCCACGGGCATTTTTCAGTCAAATCAGACCTTCCATGGCAGCAGCATTAGGCACAAACCTTCTGCACCCAACAGCCCGGCCTCATGCCCCCCTGCTCCCCCACACCATCTCCCCTGAACGCCGTCTCCTGTCTCCCCTGCCCCCCGTCTCCCTCCGCTGCCCGCCAGGTGGTGCTCTTCTCCACCAAGCCCGCTGTCACGCCGCTCTTCAAGGCCCTCTCGCTGCAATTCAGGTAGGTGCGCCTTCCAGGCTCTATTTCACCGCTGTTGTTCTTCACTGTAACCTCCTCACTCCACCTCCCTCCACTGCCACCTCACCTTCCATCTCATGGCATGGCAGGAAGCGGCTGGTGTTTGCGCAGGCCAAGGCGACTGATGAGGCTCTGGCGGCCTCCTTTGGCGCTGCCTCCTTCCCCGCGCTCTTCCTCCACAAGGTGCCCTGCTCACCCCACCTCACACCACCCCTCACACCCTTCTGCTTACTCCACCTCACTGCACCGCATGCCATCTCTCCCCTCCGCACGAGACCCTTCTGCCTCACAGAGTCCCCCCCCTGCTCCCACCTCCCTTTCTCCAGCTCAACTTTCAACCTATCAACTTCTCGCCCACTCGCCCCATCGATCCCCCTACCTTGTCCCACATGACTCTCACTGACGGTTCCATCTCGTTCCTCCCCTTTGACGCTGCCCCTTTCTCCTCCCCTGTCCCTCGCCTCTGCGCCCTTCCTCATCCCCTTTCCTCCTCCAGATGGACGGCGCCAGGAAGCACTAGGAGACCTGCTTGTTGACACGACCAAAAAACGGTGCCACCTCACTGCTGATGAGCATCCCTTCTGTTTTTTTAGTCAACTCAAACCGCCCACCTGCCACTTCCACCTTTCCCTCACCAGGTGGACGGCACCAGGCAGCTTTACGAAGGCCCGCTCAAGCCCGAGCCAATCGCGGCCTTCCTCGAGCAGTTCGCCGCCCCGGCTGAGTCCACCGCTGACTCAGCGACGGCTGGCGAGGCGGAGGCTGGCGGGGCGGGGGCGGCGGGGGAGGAGAGGCAATCGCGCTGGGTACGGCAGATGTGGGGCGCGAATTTCAGCAGCCAGGTGCTGCAGCGTGAAGAAATGTGGATGGTGGCCCTCGCCTCCTCTGCTGGTGAGACATGCATGTGCTTCCTAGCTCTCTCACTCGCTCCATTTCGTGCCTCCGTCACTCCCTCACATCCCTGGCTCACGTCCTCCCATCATGCTCATTGTTGCCCCCTGTTGAGTGCGGTGCAGAGGAGTGCAGGGAGGTGAAGGAGAAGTTTGAGAAGACAGCAGAGGAGCTCGTGGGCATGGTGAGGCGGGGGCTCAAACCAACGAAACCAAAGCAGTAGTGCATATGTGTGGCGTGACATTCCCTCTCCACACCACCCACACTCCATGGTTGGCATGGTGTGATGACATGGCGCATGGCATGGTGTGATGAGATGGCGCATGGCATGGTGTGATGACATGGCGCATGGCATGGCATGGATGGTGCGCACATGCAAGGGGTATCTATGTTGTCCCACAGGCACTCACTCTCTGCTCTCCATCCTCTCCCTTCATCTGTCCTCATCCCCCTCATCCTTAACAGATCTTTGTGGCAGTGCTGGACACGCACACGGATGAAGATGCCAACAAGTACGTCCCTCACATCTCTGTACCTAGCATGCGCGTGCACTGCTTACCTGCCCTGTGCGTGTGTGCACTCGCATCTATTCCTCTGCTCGAGCACCATACTCTCCCCATCCTTGTGCCCATCCGACCATCATGAATGCTTGTTGGCAGCTGCTGCTCTTTGCCCTGCCTCCCTGCCAACTCCTGCATCTCTTCCCTTGCTCATTCCTGTTAATCCTCCTCAAAACCTCCTTCCTTCCCTCCACCCCTTCCTCCCTTTCCCCCTCCCTTCTCCCTCTCTTCCCATTTCTCCCCCTACTCCAGTCTCGCAGCCAAGTACGGGGTGAAGGAGCAGTGTGGAGAGGCGCTGCTCTTCCCCTTGGGAGATGACAAGGAGGAGAACGAGCCCGAGGTGAGCTCACATGCTATGCTCGGAATGATGGCACCGGAAGGTAACTTCTTTGACATAGGTCCAATGCGCCAAGCATACGGCCGCATTCCCACTGACATGTGTGTTAAGAGTCATCTGTGTGTATTGTCAACATGTGAGTTCCTTACCCCCCCCCATTCCTTCTCCGTATAGCCCCCTCCCCTCCTTAACCAAAACCATCCACACCAGCGCATGTCCCTGGCAGCATCCCTCAAGGCATTGACAGCAGCGGTGTATGCGCTGGCGCCCAGGCGTTGTTCTACTTTTCTACGCGCTTGTCAAGGCTCCTAGAACAATTGCCGTAATGATGGAATGGAAGTGCGGTCACACCATTTCTTATTCTCCCCCCCCCCCCACCCACTCCTGCGTCCCCCACCAGCGCATGCCCCTGGCGTCCTCCCTCAAGGCCATGACAGCAGCGGTGTATGCCCTCGCGCCTGACTCCTTTGTGCGCCACATCACTGCTGACTCGCTCGAAGTCTTCGCTCAGACCAACCCCCTGCAGCCCAAGGTGGGTGGGCGGGCAGGGCGAGGGTGTTGACAGGGTGGCGTGGGCACAGGGCGAGGGTGGGGGGGGATGGGGACAAGCGAGGTTGGCACATCTCTGCTGATTTGCTCGAGGTCTTCGCTCAGACCACCCCCCTGCAGCCCAAGGTGGGGTGGGGACAGGGTGGGTTTAGGGGCAGCGCGGGGTGGTGGTAGGGTGGGGGTGCTGTGGATGCAGTGTGGAGTGTCAACCATGCCGTACCTTTTGTGGCACACCAGCCTCCACACGTGCCAGCCGTGCCATAC